GTGCCAAGGACTCAAAATTTGGAATTTGTGGACTCGCTAAATTATTATATTTGGATCTCTATAGCTGTGACATGATGAATTTTGATCCGTATATACACACGTTATTAGCTAACATTTGGCTCTATCTCATATTATTGTCCATCAGTTTAACTAGCTATCTCGGAAATTTGTTTATCGAAAAGCAATTACTTTCTGAATGGTAATTAACTGAATTTTTTTTAGATACCAGATTTCGGGGAATTGAATCCGAATTCGAAACAACTCTACGACATTAAATTTACGTGTTCATATATATACAATAAGTTATATTTTGATTTTTTTATTTGAATATTCAGAGTGAAGTTATATTGATAGGTTACTTTTCTCTTTGTATAATCAGTCTAAACCTTTTCATAAGTTCAAAATACTTCAAAATTGTTTTAAAAGGTTCCTTGAGAATATTTATTGATAAGAATGGTATTTTACATAACATCAGTTAAATGGCCATCACTAGACAAATAAAAATTATGCACTGTTAGTAGTATTGTTTTTAATATGATGGCAATCTAAATAGGTATTTACAATTTAGATCGCAATAAAACAACAATACTAACAGTTCAATCTAAAAAATCACATTTGAACAAAAATAAATATTTTCAGTTTGTCCATTATAAACATATTAAATGAAAAAAAAAAATCGACTCTTCTACTAGCTCGATCGATTGCTTTGCATTTTTTATTTTATTTTTAAAAAGGGCATTAGATTGTTTTGCATTGCATCAAGGGATCATAACACTTCGTTTAGTTTTTTGAGTGAGAACCGAGGAAATGGGAGTTGCATGCATGTAACGCGAGCTTGAAGCCTCCAGTTGTACCTATAAAGCTTTGAGCCCTCCTTTTGAACACACGAGAAACACGAGCATGATCAAATTTTCTGTATTACTTTATTATCTCAATTATTTTTGGGTCTATTTATTAATACTTACGCTGGTTAGCTATCAATCACGGAATCACCACCGGTTACTCGGATTAAGAATGTGAATACATCGTTGACAAATAAATGTGAACATGAGATGGTCATATATATATACTTATAATAAATAAATGACATGTGCATCATAGTATAAAATTATAGTAATTGTTAATTCTTTATGCATGCATTTTTAATATTAAAGGCTGTTTATTAATGTTGCCGCCGATGCTGGTGAAAACTATGTCACTTGTGTCTATATATATTTAAAACCTTGGAGTACAATTCTCTATTGTTAACGAGTACAAACCCCGAACCATATATAATAAATAGCTCAATCGCAACCCAAACAAATAATCTTATTGATTTGTATGAAATATAAAGAAACTCTTCTGTCATTTATTTTATTTTATAATTATATCAATGCAAAAAATATCGACACTATACTTTGTTTTTTTTTTCTCTTAACTCTAAGCTATATTTTGTAGATAACCAAATCGTAATATTTTGAGATTTAATTTCGAAACACTCAAAGTAGCATTAGATATATGATTCTGGATTTCATTTTATCTTTCGTCAACACTATGATATTTATTTTTAGTTTATTTTCTCTCGTCAATTTCAAGAATATACCTATTAATAGCTTAAATTTATTAGTTTGTGCTGAGTTTTTTTAAACTAGCTTTATTTGATTTTTTTTGTTATCAAAATTAAACGAAAATAAAAGTTAAACACAGATATATAAATTGTTCAGAAAATCCATTATTAAATTATATTATATTTATAATAAGTTTTCTACAACTAGTTTAAAACCCAACTGGTAAATTCGATTATAGTATTATTTAAGAAGCAAAAATCAGTTATTTTTAACGCAAATGAAAATAGATTAATTTTTGTGATTATTTATTAATTAATAATCAATTAAACACAAACAATCATTTCCAGGTTCACTATTCTCCATATATGCATTCCATGTTGGTATTAGAACCAACTAAAATTGAATATTTTTGAGAATCATTTAATGGTGTGAGCCTAAAGTTCACAGGTATCAAACGTCCCCGCATAAGAAAATAAACTTTTTAGAATTAATAATATATTCAAAGTACCATCATATAAAAAGGACTTTTGTTTAAATGATTTAATTATCTATTTCACAACATGTATCTAGCTTAATCTACCCCAACAATAACTCCTACTCAATCGTGTTGACATAGAAACAAAGTAGTAAAAGTTGTTTCAATATAATATAACAACATATTTTTTATAAAACCATTGAAATTTTTTTTTATCCGAATTTGCATCTATATGTAGATTTATTTGTGTAAGCATTTTGTATTTATGAAATTAAACTTTTAAAATCCAGAGAAATGTTTTTTTACCAAATAAGCGAAGGCGTGAATATAAGATGCCAAAGTACGTAGGAATATGTCTGAATATAAAATAATGTCATAAAAATCTTTAGTTAATTGGAGAAGGAAATAAAATATGGGGTAGTACACAATATTGGCCATATGATTGGTACTTCTGAAAAAGACAAGAGTCGAGAGTTAGAAGGAAACAACAGCTGTTTGCAATTCAGATTTTAACAATAAAGTATTTGTTTTTATATATATAAAAGGGCAAATAATTGGACTTGTGGGTTCGTGAGAGATACGAACGAAAAACACTAACGCAAGTGTCTTGATTAGAAACTTTGTTGTACCGTATACCTTTGAAGTTGTTCATTTGTATAAAATTTCCTTTAATTATAAATACTTTACTTATAGTTTGGAATTACGTGTATAAAATGAAACACTGATTACTATGATTAAGTGTTTTTGATTTTGACTAATTCTAACTCTCCTCTTTTTGGGGGGTCAGAACGAGTTCTAACTCTTTTTCTCTCCGAACTGTTGCATTTATATCAAAAGCAGCTAGTTGGCATTGATATCGACATCTTTGCTCTTTTAACTTTACCCTACTTGTATTTTGATTCCACGTTTTCGATTAGATTTAATGAATTTGATAGCTATAGTTAATAATATTTATTTTGTATGGTGATTTTCTAGGCACTGATATATTGATATGTAGCAAAATTATCATCGCAATTATATTCAATAAAAAACTAGAGAAAACGTATAAATTAGAAGAAACACACCTTTTAACAAGAAAAAACCAAGCCCTTCACACATAACGTGTATATAAAAAAAAAAAAAAAAAAACGTGTATATAAATAAAATATAAATATCCAAATAACTATAGAATAAATAAATAAACAATGTATCTGAAAATCGAACATGATCCCAATTGCTTCGAGGTATAATTAATTTGGAATACAATACTAGTAACTTCTAAAACATAGATTTTGAAAAAATATCTTAAAACTTTTTTTTTGTGCACCTCTTATTACACATCTGAGAGTAGTTGATTAGATCCGAATCTCTCAGTACAACGATATACATTAAAAGTCAATATGTTGCTGATGTATCCAAATATGCTCCAGTATGCATATCCTCCATATTGAAATAGCGTCACTTAGAAAAATGAAAAGGAAAAACAATTTCTTGGCTCGAAGATAGGTTAGGTCATTGGTGAAAGAGACAAAAACTACAGGCACTAACAAATTCCAAGAAAATTATATTCCTTATATGAGATGACCCCAGCATGACTCATGCATGCAAACCCCAGTACATTTTCCCTCGGTTTATTATTTTATTATTATTCACATATTTTCTTTGCTACGTTCATTATTAACCTTTAAAATCGTTTGGATTGAATCTCTAGTTTCATTATATTTTGTTTTCTTACCTCTGATGATGATAATTGTATTCTAAACGTATACTAAACAGTGGGACTTAGGAGTGTAGAAGTATAGACGTATGAAATTATTTAATTTAATTGTAACACACACTATTAGATAAATGCAATTACATTTCTGATAGTCCTAAACATCATAGAGTGCGATAGGCAAATGCATCCATGTTCACATATAAGTTGACATTTCTCCGAAATTACAAATTAGGAAAAAAAATTCCCTGACAACAATGACATGCAAGCAACTCTGTTTCCACATAAAATATGTTGTTTATATATTTATTTGGATTAAGTTAATACTTGTCTAAGAAACTTCGCTGTAATAACAAACAAATAGTGTAGAACTTACACGAGGACCAACTAAACCGATATTGAAACTAAAGGACCGAGTCAAATGCAAAGGATTAGGAAGAAAAGTAGATGACGACTAGTAAATACGATTACGAACATCCTTCAACGGAGTTTTATTTACTCATCGCCGAAGCTTTAACAAGCACTTCCCGTTCAATATCATGGGCTTTTATGGCCCGGATATGTTATATTAGGTTGTTGACTTTTTTTATTTGGTAATCAAATAAGGTTGTTGACTTGAGTGGACCGTCTGTTTAAAATTTGCAGGGTTTTTTATTCTACTCGTTTGGTTTGAAGATTTATTTATAAGTGGAGGTTTTCTAAACAGAGGGTCACGTTTATTTCCATTGTCTCTTTCCCAAAGGGCCTTTTGTGAAATGTGGCTTGGGCTTTGTAACTTGAGGAGAAACCAAGGATGTAAGCCGCACGTTCCTCCCATGTGCGACATTCAGAAGCTTTGATTAAAGTGAAACCGGTTTAGAACGATTGGGTATGAACCGAACCACCTAAAAGTTTTTGGCTTTGCGCTACAAAAAGATAGTACTCTTTTTATTATGAGTTGTTTCCCGCGCAAAGGGACTTGTTGTGCAAGTTGGCGCCGCCACACAAATGGAAAAATCCGAATTATGATAAGAAACTATTAAATAATTTTTAAAAGTGGAAATAAAATATATAGAAAGATTACCAATAATGATGGTAGAGAGCGTCTGAAACGGTGCAGTGGGGTCACGCGCATCATAAATGTGGTGCTATCAACTAATAACATGTCTCCACGTAAGCATATCCAGCTCATACTCAGCTGTTACAATCAATCTAAGCCGTCCGTTTGATATGGAAAGAGACGAAAACAGCTCTCTCTGTGTAGTAGAGAAAAGATTCTCGTCCTCTCTCTCTGTTTTAATAATCTCCCTCCTAAATTTCAGAAATTTCGAAATGTTTTAAAAGGAAACCAAAAAATTTCAAGATTTGATTAAAATCTATTTACTTTTATTATAATTATATATAAATAAACAAGTAACCGCTTCTTCTCACACTTCAAAAGTTTTTCCGCCCTTTGGATTTTGAAATCTCGAGAGAGAAAGAGAGAGAGATCTAAAGAGTAGGAGAGAATGGAGGAGGTGGTGGAGATGAGGAGTGCAGAGATGACGGAGGAAGGGTGTACGACGCCGAGAAGCACCAAGTATAGGATTCCGGTGTCGTTGGTTTGTCCACCGCCGCCGAGGAAGAAATCAATGGTGGTGAGGAAACGAGATCCGCCGAGGAATGGTTACTTTCAGCCGCCGGATCTGGAGACTCTGTTCTATGCACATCCTCGACGAGAAGCATGCGCTTAAGATTTCATTCTTGTGTTTCTTTTTTAATTTCGATCTAGGGTTTGATTTGCTTGTCTTTTTGTAGATACATGTTTTCCCATTTGCAGTGTAGTATTGTTGCTCTCTGAGACTAGATTTTAGTCTCCATCTTCCCTTTTGTGCATCGTTTAAGAAAAAAACTGAGATTCTCGGAAATCGAATTGTGTTTCTTTTCGTTAGGTTTTATTCAGACAAGGAACTGTGGTTTGGTTCTTGGATTGTGTTTTTCATGTTGTTGGAAATTGAATGTGTGATTTGAAACTCTGTTTTGTTTATGTAGTGATATGTGAAAGTGTTTCTTAAGTTAAATTTGCGGGAGTAAGGAAATGAACAATGAACAAGACAAATACTTAACCATTGTCATGTTGAAATATTTACATAATATTGCAGGGACTAGTGATAGATATGTAGTAGCATTTCTTTGTTTTACATCATAAGTGTTGAAAAATACTCCTCAAACTCTTTATCAATAGTTGGTTTCTTTGTAGCTTCCTCTGAATCTGCAATAAGTACAAATATGGTGACAATGAATCCCATTAATTATTGTGACACTTTCAAATTTCAACTTCTTTTTAGTTTTACCTTGGTTGCTTACACTCCACCGTGCAGAAGAAAGAGTGTAAGAGCCTTCTGGATTCGAATCTTCACTGCCTATAAGCTCTTCAACCGCAAACTCGGAACAAATGAACTCCAGGTCTTCAACATATTCTTGTATTTTGTCATTAACTTTGGAACAGCATTGGTCTATGCCTGATGCTGCATAACCAGATCTCCAACTTGATCTTCCGGTTGAATAAGAAGAGTCTTTAGACATGCACACAGATGCAGAAGAAGAGGTCTCATCACCGGTTTTTGTGTCTTCCATAGCATAAGAACACTCTGCAGATTCAATATCTGAGGATGGACATGTAGAATCAGGAAGAGAAGCTTGTTGCTGCTCCAGACACAAGTGTTTTGATAAGGGTAACAAGTCTGATTCTTCAGCTGGCAGTTTCCTCTTTCTGCTCGACTCAAGAGACTCCTCCTCAGCAACCATCATCATATCGTTGATACAGCTGAGAGCAAATACCAATTAGTAAGAGGTCGTAAGTTTCTACTACATAAATCAATCATCAGCTCTTTTTTCATAAAGCATCGATAAATATTGCAATTTATTATAGCTATAAGAACAAAGCACTAAAACAGGTTAGTCCAGAAACTACAAGTAATATTTGTATTTATGAGTAAAGAGAAGCTTTGCATAAGATTTCAAGTGCTCGAAGTTGCAGTTTACTAAACACCAAACACACTTCACCTCTAAAACACAGTGAGAAAAACCATTGAACACCTAAGAGGCACGACGCTTTATATATAGTTCAAGGAAGCTACTATTCACAGATGATGAAAACTTTGCTGGAAACATACTAAAGCATAACACAGGATAGTGTATGTCGATTTCAGGTTCGAGATAATCTATACAAAGAAGATGTTCCAAATTGCAACAGTACGAATATGAACAGAATAACTAAATAGATTGGTAAAAGGAAGATGTCTTAGCTGATGCTTTTGAGATGAAAAAATAAAATAAATAAACCTGTGATTCAGCGATGATGAGCTACAACTACTCTCATCTGCACCCATGGTTTTAGAAGAAGATAGTTTTGTTGAATGTTGATGGTACTAGTTGGTGAAGTGATTATGATGTTCTGAATATTATTCAAAGAATGAAGGAGAAAAGCAAAGCCAAGTTCTCAATCTAAAGCGACTGCAAATCACGGCCTGCGTTGGCGAGCAGCCGTTGGATCTTCTGTTAGGCCGCACGTTGTAACTGCGCGTGAGCTAATAATATTTACACTAAAAGACATTAAACCGCGTCCCACGTCCCACGTGAGAGTGAGGTTTTGGTGGTTCCTGACATCAGAGAACACATCAGCATCAGAAGTTAAAACAATTTTTAAACACAAGAAAGACTGTATTGGTTTTTGTTTATGTTTGGGCTTTACCCTACTTTCTTTTTTTGCTATTAAATAGTACTCTTGTGAAAGAGGAAAGAAGTAGGCAATGTACTACTAGCACTCTGGAATTAGATGCCTTAACTCTTCTTCATACTATACAATTGCAATGGTAATGTGTTTTCATTGGATCGTATACGTTATGGGAATATAGCTGATTTTTATGGCATTCCATGCATTTCGTGTGTGTCGCTACTGGCTATGCTTTTGATTTCCATTACAATGACGATGCATAATAGATGATAGTAGTAGGGTCTCTCTAGCTGCCAAAATGGCTGCAAAGTTGCTGAAGAAAACTAAACTATCTTATACAGTATATGCTAATAGACTGACATTGAGAAGGATAATTAATAAACATTGAAAGCTAAACATAATGCTAGGTTGGATTGTTTTACCTTTGTAAAAATCATATTATGAAACATACACGAGAGCAGAATTAATACTGTGTTTAAAAAAACCCAAACCAGAATACATATGAAAGATTCAAATTCTTACAATTCGTAAAAACCCAAACTGGACTATATTCGGTTTCATTGAGGCTTGTATAAATATTTATAAATAATATTGTATACAACAAACACCTAATTTAAATCTCCACAAAATTGGCAGGCGCCAGTCATGTCATCTGGTCTGCTAATCTTGAGATGGCCGAGTAAGTACCACAACAACCACTCACCAACCCGAAGATTATAATGAACATGCATAATCCGATCTGCACAAATAAACACACAGAATATCGGTTTAAGGCTTATCAAAATTCTCCTATAAAAGAAGAAAAAACGTTGAGAGTCAAGAAGGTATGTTCTTACTTGTGTGCTGGTTAATTTACCCTTGAGGATACTAAGGTAACATAGACATGGAAAGATGAGAGCCTGAAACCAAAAGAAACATTTGTCTTCGTGGGTTCGATCAATTTATAATTTAAAAATCTCTCGATCGAAGAACTTACCACAAGCATTGCAAGGAACGATCCGATTAGTGCAGCCACAATCGCTGTAAGTTAGAGAATTCGATCAGAGAAGAAGCTATGATGAATAGGTTTCTTGCGTAGCAAGTTAGATCATTTAGCTTGGTATTACGTTACTTGGTTATGATTTATGCAATTATATGGAAAAACAGGAGGCAACAGAGATACATAGAAAACATTACCGAAGAAAGGAACTGAAAGAGCAACGACAAGAGTAGAGATGACTAGGATTGTTCTGAACAATATGGATACACCATGTGACCTCATTTTAGCCATTGGAATAAGTTCTTCGAGGCTCAGAACGATTGGAGTGATTGTTAACGCGTATTTTGTCATCGGTGTAACAATCTAAGAGAGTGAGGAAAGTCAGTTTTTGATTACACAGGAAGTGTTAAGTATAATAGAGAAAATGAGATGAGAATGATGTTGTTATCTTACCGCAGTCCAAACCGCTAATTTAGATGCAAGGAAGTGTTTAGGCATATTCAATGTGAATTGTGATTCGAGCGCTTCACCAAACATGGTGTAACCGCAGACAGCTACAGATATGTATAAGACCGTACAGAAACTAAAACTGCATAAGAAAGAATGAAGAATCAAGTATTATTATTAGGGTTTACTGAGATAAGAAAGTAAAGAGAGAAAGCTTCTTGGGGAGTTACCAAATAACTAAGACAAGAGGAAACTTGGAAGGATCTTTCATAGAAGAATAGATGTTTGGGAAAACCGAATGACCCGAGTACCCAAACCCGAAGATCCCTATAGCAACAGGTAGGTTACCGAAGTCCATAAGCTTTCCTGTTGCGTGAAACCCTATTCCATCGACTGCACCGACCCAAAAGAGGCAGAGACCTAGCAAGACTGATGCCACGACTCCTCCAACTAGACCAGAGAGTTTTAAAAAACGGTCAATAAAACAGAGAGAGATTCAGGAGGGGTGGGAAAAAGCAAACCTGAAAGGTAAGAAAGCAAGCTAAGGTCTTTAAGCCAGACCGTTGGAAGAACAAGAAGAGTGGTTAAAATCGCAAAAGCTTGAGGAGAATCTAGAGATAGCCCTGGGGTAATGCTCAGTGAAACGTTTGGGTATAGTCCTGATAAATTATCGCTCATCATGATTATGAATTCCACACAAGCTGCCTATTTTTTCGGAAAACAAAGTTACAATCAACAAAACAAATTTTAAACAATATTGAACAACAGAGGGAGAGAGAGAGAGGATGAAACTTACATACAACTCTATGTAAAGAAGGATCTGCCGTTCAAGAAACATAGCAAGAAAAATAAGGCAAGCTTCAGTATCAAGAAACATAAAAAATTTAAAGTATTTGGGTTTTGGATCAATAAACTTACAGAAATGATGCAGCGACCGGTAATGCCAAAGGCGGCTTGACCGATGTCAGGGTAAGTTTGAAGACCAGGAGAACTTTCAAGACATCTCTTCAAGAGAATGCCTGTGTAGCAAGTTATGACTCCAAAGAAGGCGAGTATGATCAAACCTAGCCATCCACTTTCTTTTATTGCATATGGCATTGTTATTAATCCTAGTCCACACAATACATTTGTTCCTGCCCAAACATAAAATTTAAAAATTTTAAAAATAGTGGCGATGAAATGATATATATTGCTTTGAACGTGAAAACATGTTTACTAATCACAAACATTAATTTATTTTGTACCGTTGAGAATGGATTGAGAGACGGAGCAGAGATTAGATTGAGGAGGCAAGGGAAGATCGGTGACGGAGAGCTTGAGCTGAGATGGAAAATGGGGAGGTATTAAGATGGAATCATCCTTGTCAGCAGGATCTGGAGGTTGAGAGAGAAGAGGCTTGCTTGAGGAAGAAGTAAACGAATCGAAAAAGGAGGATTGCTGCTTCTTGTGGAAGGAAGAGCCTGATCTCCTCGACAGGCTTCTAGGCATGAAACTCACCGATGGTGGAGTCATCCCCGTCATTAAATCCATCGACCGTCTTAACAAAACAATACCAAACAAATAATAAACAATCATCGAGACAGAATTCAATAAGAAAAAAAAGAACTTCTAATTTTATTTGTACCGGTAACTCTGTGGCCATGGAGGATTTGGGACATCGGAGAGATTGTTATCTGAACGATTATGAGACAAAGGAGAGGAGGTATCGGAATATGCTCCGCCCTTCCGACCATCTCCATCGTGTTCATCGTCAGAACAAGCAAGATCTGCTTGATTTTCCTCGTCATCTGTAAGAAACGAATGGTCTCTGTCATGTAAGAATTCTTCGTCGAGTTTCATCTTTCCTCTAATGAAAAAATGCTGATTGCTGAGAGAGGGAGAGATGTAAAATCGGGTTCTAGTGTTTCAGGCGAGTCAAAAAGATTTCCTTCTATATATGGTAACAACTTATTCAATGGAGGGTAATAACATATTCAATGTTTTTTTTTTTTTATAATTTGTTTCCTTTTTTCTTTTGCGGTGTAGAATTAATGCTGATGATATTCTTCATGTCCTGTGAACTTCCAAATTAGCAATTTATATTTTAGATTTTCTCTTTGTTTTGTTTTGTTGTTGACTAGCTTCCAAAACTGTATTATCTATCGGTGCAGGTGATACATGCAAACATGCCGCTGTCCCATTTTCCAATATATTCTTCTTTTCTTCATTAACCGTTGATTTGTTTTCTATAGATTGCCATTAATATTTAAGTTTATTATTAAGATATTCAATTACAGCTTCCATATTTATAAATAACAGAAGAGAGGTCCTTGTTGGTTATAAATACGCACATTTTTCTCGACTAGCTAGTATGTTTCTTTCACGAGAAAATTCACCGCCAACAAAATAAAGGAATATACGTATGGGAGGGGATACTTTTGATTAGAAACCACTTCTGATGATCAAATTTGATTACACAAATACATTTTTATTTTCATTATAACCTTTTCAAGGTTAATAAGAAGCCATTTCTCAAGAAACAAAAAAAATGGAAAACTTCTTCAAGGTTCTTCAATTTTTTTTATATTAGCTTTGATTTGATCATGGAAACTTAGTGTAAAATCTTGATAACAAATAGAACGTATTGTCTTGTCGATCGTTAGAGATCTTTTCCTATTATTTTGCAAAAGGTTAATATCAACCATACCAGACTAATACAATATAGGAGGTAAGGATGGTAGCTACACAGAACATCACTTTTATTACAGATCGATCATTACTAGACTAATACAATATTCAGATATGAGGCAAGAATGGTAACCAACTCAGGACAGCACATAGGTAAGGTTGGTTCTATGTGAGAGGAAAACCGAATGGACACGATTCCTTTTAGATAGATCGTCGTCATCAATCTAACTTTGGATATTTAAAACATAACCTCCTCCTGATTTGTTTGGTTGTTTAAAAGTTTGCTTTTTTTCCTTGTTTGTCTGTTCTTGTGTTTGCTTGTTTTCATGTTTGAACTACTTATGCTTTTCTAACCAAACCGTCCCAAAGTAATATTCTCCGTGGTTTCCTGAAAATATTACAAAATTCACTAAAAGCTTCAATACGTTATTTGATACAAAATCACCAGAACTATTCAACACACAGTTTTTATGCATTTGATGATTAAACCCTTGCAGTTGCAGAGTAAACAAAGTGTACAAACTTAACCAAAACTATCTCTTGCAGTTGCAGAGCAAATAAACGTACAAACAACTCAAAACAATTGTATCTCCAAACAAGCTACCATGAATAAAAATTTCTTGCATGGTTTCAGAAACACTTAATTGCAGAGTATAATTACAACAATTATATCTCAAAACAAGCTACCGTGAATAATTTTTTTTATCATGATTCATATAATTACAGCTCCAAGGAT